GCTATTGATAGGTAGTTTTGGCCATCCATTCCATGATCATATTTAAAGAGCTATTTTTTTTTTTTTTTTGATGAAACCATATTTAGAATCTGCTCTTACGATCGAGGCGAGATTGTCAGCGTATGCGACAGTTTCACATCCTAGGGGGAGTTTCATATACAGTACCTCGTCGTATAGGACGTTTCACAGGATAGGGCCCAGTATAGACCCTTGTGGTAAATTGATTTTGTTCATTGAACGATACATTTATTCTAGTTAAAAAATTAACTGAACTACGTGTAACTAAATTTTTAAAACAGTTTAAGGATTGTACAAATTCAAAAGGTCTGACTCAGAATTTAAAAATCAAATCAGCTATTTTTTGAGAGTTCTAAACAACCTTATTCAGTCATTTGATAAACAAACCTATTAGTGAATAATGGCATTATTACTGACGATCCGAGCTACTTGAACAAAAGAGGTCTGGCATCAACAACATAGTATGTATCTATGTGTTTTATGTAATAGATTTATCACACATAGATCAGCTGCATTTTAAATATATATGTAACTTTGAAATTCTACTATGCCCACTATGAGTAAAAGTAAGGTTTTATACAGATACTACTGTTTTAAAAATTGTATGTATAAATTATGAAAATAATGAGTCCAAGAATTGAGCTCTGTGGTACTCCACGGGAAATTTATTTTTTATTTGACATTCCAGATTTCTTTAGAACAAATTCCTTTCTGCTTTCAAGTTAATGTTTTAAAAATCATTAATACATCCAATGAAGTGTAATATTGAAAGTAAAACTTTGTGATTAATAGTGTCGAGTGCTTTGGAGAAATCAAGCAGTAGCGTTTGCCGTTTCCACATATCTAAAAATATCATCTAAATTGAGTAAGGATTCTGATGTCTCCCTTACAGACATATACTCTTTTCGTTGTATTGTAAAGACTAATTTGAGGAAACTTAAAATTAATAATAAGACCAACAGGATGAGCCTCACAGAATATATACTGTTTAATACAACTTGTTCTGATAAACACACTAAACTACACATTTCCTACAAATAAATATCAATATTTCTTTAGAGTCCTCTTAGCTTTTTGTGACGGCTAAATAGAAACCAATAAATGCGCAGACCAGATTACAAATGAATATTTTTCAAATGTGACCTTACATTGTATTTTTATTTATTTTTTAAGTGTAAATTGTTCATTTTGAAATAAATTTTACCTATTTATTCAAATCTATTTGTATAAGAAGTCACAAACAAAGAAATAAAGTACGTTCATTCTGAAAATATAAAAACATCGAAAAGTTATAAAGACGTGCGTTCGCCTTGAAAAAATCCATCCCCTGATTTCGATGCAACTGGTAGCCCCAGGGCACTATACGCGACATTCTTTGGCAGAGTAAACCTTTCAAATCAAGTCATAAATCATTCAAGACGTCGAACGAAAGCGTAGGTAAAGGAACGGGACCCTCGAAGGTCGATGGAAGAGACAAACATACAGATTTGAAGGTACAAGGTAGAGACATTGATGGAACGGTCCTTTGAGTGGCATTGTCACATGTCAAACCGTCTTCTACGAGGGTACGAGCAATGCCCGAGGGGTCGGACGATACTAATTTCTTCATGCGATAGATATTAGCAGGTCGTTAGGGAATCATCCTTTTCGTTTTCGTTTCAGTTTGATTTTTAATTGGGGATGAAAGGGGCATTGACAGGTAAATATATTTTTTTCTAACGGGTAAAAAAAGATGTCATTTAATCTTTTTTTTTTTCACCAGGAAAAACCTCTTTTCATTGTATCGATGATTTTATATTCTCTCACACAGTATTTTGGCAGTTGATTGTTTGTTGGGTAAATAATAAGTAGAATATCTTATTAAAAAACAAAAATAACTTATTATAAGAAACAAATAAAGAATAAAAAAACTTGTCATCACAGACGTGAAAAACAATATGCATAGTAATAAACCCAAAACCGACAAAAATAACGTAAAAAAGGAGAGTAATGAAATAATTACATAATTAAGAGTTATAATATATAAACTGAAGCTAAGCTTGACTCTTACTATTCGGATTATTAGGCTCCGCTTGATATACTCGGTTAACGCATTGGCAGTCGGTATATTATGCATACAAGATCGACTTTTTTAGAATTGGTGGCTTCAGCATACATTTTTGCTCGATAGCTTTGGACGAGCTCAATCGCAACCCCACAGAGCCACCCCCGAGCGCCCCCAGGAACATCTAATACTAGAATTGAATTCACCATCCCAGAAAACCCCCGAGTAACGAGTTTGGAGCGCTTCCCATGGACTATGAATTACTATGCAATTTCCCCCCCAGAATGACCCTCCGGATACCCCCTCAGAGCCTCGGGTAATTCTAATGCCAGAATTGAATTCGGCATCCCCGAAAACCCCCGAGTAACGAGTTTGGAATGATTTTCACGCACGCTGCCATTTCTCCCCAATTCATCCCCCGCGTACCCCCACAGAGCCACCCTGGGTAATTCTAATGCCAGAATCGAGTTCGGCAGCTCCGAAAACCCCCCGAGTAGCGATTTCCGAGCGTTTTTGCCGAGTTTCCAGTCGTTCCTATAATGGTGCAAGTAATGATGCAATTGGAAAATGCATTTTCCGGCTCAGAAGGCATTTTTCAAAAAATGGCTAAACCAGACGATATAGACTTTCTTCCTGTGACCTTTCTGATCACAATGCAGAAAACCGCAGCTCGATATCTGCTGTCCCTAAAAATTTCCGCTATTTTTCCTAACTACCCGTGACTATAAAATAAAATAAAATAAAATGAACAATTGCAGATTTCTATACTTATTATAGTCTTGCGAAAATTGTTGAAAAAATAATAAAAATTACCTAACAAATTTTTTGAAAAGATAAAAATATTATCGAACTCAGAATTTGGCTTTTGATAAAAAATGGCAATCCAGGATGAAATGACGTGTTTAACAAATAATATTTATGAAACATTAGACAAAAATAAACTACTAATTAATTGTTGTATTTATTGATTTGTATAAAATTGACACTGTGGACCATACCATACTTCTATTGTCTTTAGTAAATAAAGGAGTAAGGGATACTGTTAACCATAGGCGCCGGAATTCAAAAATTGCTTTGGGTGCCCGACCTCTAAGCGGGAAATGGAGCAATCCCCCCTCCACCCTTCACACCTCAGTTAAAGGCACCACCAATTTTTTAAAAGCACTTTAAAAGCATTTTTAATGCGTTAATTTTATGAAACTATTCTTAAACAAAAATATTATAACATATCCAATTGCTGGAGTTTGAGGATTGAAGCGGCAGACGAAGTATCAACAATCGGTAGGCTGGAGGCGTAAAGGCTCCCACCTAAATCGGAATATCTGGCAACCCTATATGCTGGGTGTAGCAACCACTAGTATTCAGTGGTGGCTGCAGTGCTAGAGTACCAATGAAATAAGTAGAAACAATAAAAAACATTTATTAACCAATTTAGAAGGAGATTTTTGATAATTTGTTAATACACATATAATGGAGTATTGTATCTATACAGGGTGACCATGCTAATTTTGTCGCACCCGGTTCCTTTACGAAAAAACGCTCGTCAATTTTTGATTTTAGGGGGAAACATTTTTTTGCTAGTTTCACTCCATGAACGGAAACTCCAAAATATACTTTCAATGGACTTTTCGATTTTAATGTTGATTGTTTAACAGTTGGGCAGTTCTATTAGCACATTCATTGTTCGCAAAAAAAGTCAAATTAGTTGCACCCTCTCAGCAAATGAGTAAATCATTATCACTGATATGCCACTTTTATGCCGACTCTACAACGAAATAAACCAAATATTACTTACTGCTTTACATCGACCAAAGAATGTCATCTAATAACAATAATTGAAAGCCAGAGGAATAAAACTAGAATTGTTACAAAGAATTTCTTTTTTGTTAATAACAATGTAAAAATTATCTTAAACCGGTTTTATACTTTTGCTGAGCCACTGTATGGGCCACATAGATAGTAGTGATGTAAAACTCGGGGATTAAAATCTATGTAAAAATACCTTTAAAATACGCTATCATTCGACCCCTCATTCCAGTTGAGCTTTTAGGGGTGAGTCTCGCCCCTGATAGAGGATTTTCGCTCAGGGGGCAAAACTGGCAAAAAAATGTTTCCCCCTAAAATCAAAAATTGACAGATTCGACCATTTTTAGTAAATGACCTGGTTTCTCGCCAGTACTCCTAGAAAACTGTTTCTGACTCAAAATTAACATTATTTTCTAATGGTGCTTGATCGGGAGCAACTCCCAAATGTTCTCCCTTCTCCCCTCAAGCATTTGCTCAATATCATATGTAAGAGCTCTTGTCTTGATATTTCTAGAAAGTTAATAGTCATTCTTTTTTGACGTCATAGGGTTTTATACACCAATAATAATAAACTTTTAAGTCCAGGTTCAATGCGTTGTCTATGACAAGTGACGGCGACTTTTTTATCACAAAAAATACAGCTCGGAACGATATTTTATCGAGGCATCCTGTCGCTATACCAACTTTGGTAACGACAGCTTCTTCATTTCACTTATTGGTATTTTTTGTCCACATTGTGCTATGGGTGCTCCGCACCCAGTTTCAAACTGCTCTGGGTGCTTGCGCACCCAGAGCCCCGGGAATTCGGCGCCTATGCTGCTAACGATTTGTTTGAAAGCTACTTGACAGAAAAAAAAAGTAAAATTCAACAAAAACGTACTGTCATAGGTGGTGTCTTTTAAGGAAGAGTGCTGGGGCCAATGTTGTTCATAATTTACCCAGTTATTTTTTGCTAGAAAATAAAAACAAAATAATTAGCTTTGCCTTCTCATTTAACTTTTTGTAATTTTTATGTTTATCTTTTTTCTTTAATAGAGTAGATATTTCAAAAAATGTATCCATGAATAATTTTATTAAATAAAATAAATATAACATTAAAATATTTTATTATTTCTATATTTTTACTATTGATAATTTCTATTGATTTTGAAAACTAGGAATTTTGAGATTCGCTGATATTAAACTGGATGCAAATAATCAGATAAGTAGTGACAGACGAAAATAATGCCCCCAAAATAAATCTATTAATAATAAAAAATCCAGCGGCGGAACATTTCGGTGATATCTTTTCCGCATAATTTGCTAGATAAAGCAACTCGTCTCTAACAATCGACTTGGGCATCCCCTGTTGCAGAAGATGACAAGTGACAACGAATTCTGCGGAATTTTTTTCGATCTTGTCGCATTTGTTGGTCAAGGTGATCACGTTCACCTAAAACAGTACATCCATAAAATACTTTCATTCTATCAGTACAGTAGTAAATTTTATTTAAAAAATATACTGTAAGTGATATAATCTGTCAGGGCAACGAATTTAAATATTTGTTAATAATTATAACAGACCTCGATAAGGAATTACCAAAAATAGATGTTGAATGAATACATGAAGTTTATTAATTTAACAGGAATAATGAGGAAGATGTTATATCCAAACTTATTCCCGTCAGTATTAAATTATTTCATCCCATAGTATTTATTAGATGGTTCAAAAGTGTAGATATTGCATGTAAACACAATTAAAAAACCAAAGAGGTATCAAAAGAAGATGTGTTGTTTACAACCAGGAAGAAAACGGTGTGAAAAAAAAAGATAACAAGTTTAAGATACCAATTATAAAGTATAAAAGCTGAGATACCTGGTATCTGTTGATCTTTTAGTTCAAAAACGAATATAAAAGTACTTCAAAGAACATATGGTTTGAAGCAGTGTTAATAAATCTAAAAATGGGTATGAGAAATTGAAGAAACCTCCTTATCTATCTAAATACGGGCGCACTGAAGCTTGAAGCTTATTATACTTCCCTTATGGCTTCTATTTTATTAGATCTTATTTTCTTTATAGAGACTCATCATCCCTAAAAGAATAAGGCTGCATTGTTCCGTAAAGAATTCTATTATGGCCTTGGAATATTTTGTATTGTATTAGCCGTAAGTACCCCCTTTAACATATTGACATAAAATAGGGTCCTGTTACAGTTTATTCAGCTCCTCTTGTAGCTAGGAGCTCTGCCAATGCATCATAGTTGGTTGGTTAAAATTTTTACAACCTTTCCTACCCTTTTTTTATACAGCTCTCTGTATCTATAAGGGTGAAGGGTGGGTTACCCCCACGTCACTTAAGCCTCATTAGGCCCATTGTGCATTCTCCTGAGATGATAGGCACCTCCTAGCTCGTGACCCAGCCTACAGATTTAATGTAGTTGACAATGTCGCCAAGAGGCGATTCTCTTATATCGGCCGATACTCGCCGAACACAAATGTTCTAATAAATAAAAGCGTCGAGCAGTCGTAAAGGATATGCACGATGATCTCATCTTCTTGTTCGCACCCTCTTCAAAGTGCGGATTCTGACAGCCCCATGATATGGAGATGCTTTCGTACTTGGCAATGACCAGTCAGAATGCCTGTGACTAGGCGCAGATTATGTCTAGTCATAGTCAAGTATTTGTTTACTGCAGTGTTGTCAGAGTAACTTAAAAGCTCCCTGGCAACTCTGCAGTTCTTTGTTTCATCCCATCTTTCCTTGAATTTTATACGGGAATGCTCTTTGATTAGGTCTGTCACTACCGATTTTGTTAGACCAATAGAAGGGCCAGGTTCAAACATATATGGTTGGCTGCTTTCTTGGCTAGTGAATCAGCAACCTTTTGATGTGGCGTGACCTTTGATCCATCTTAAGGTGACCACATTGTTGATGGATACTTTGGCCAAAGCTTCGTGATATTCTAGTACTAACCCTGAGTAAATTCGTGGTCTGTTCAGGGTGAGTAGTGCTTGTCTGCTATCTGTATAAATGAGCATGTTCTTTCCAGTGATATTATTTCTGGTTATTTCTTTTGCGGGTATGAGAATTCTCGTTAGCTCTGTTTGAACTACACTGGCACTATTGCTCACAGCCCATTTTATGTTTAGCTTAAGAATCTGAAGTATATTTCACATCCTGAGCCTTGTTTTGTGTTAGAACCGTCGGTGTAGATCTAACCGTACCTGCCAATTCCGGCTCTTCTATTTGTTCTACTATAACTTAATATGGCTTATGGAAGATATATCTCGGTGAGATGGAGTCCATGTTTGCTTGAAGCAGTGGAATCCTACATCAGGTTCTATTCCAACCGTGCGGAGGCGTATCATTGTCGTCATAGCAACCACCTTGATGTAAATATTAAGGGGAGTGAGACTAAGAACGACTTCCATGGCTCTGGTCGGTGTTGTTCTCATGGCTTCTGTTAAGTTGAGACATGCTGTTCTTTGAATTTGTTCTAGTTTAGAGATAGCTGTTAATTTTTGGGTTTTCGGTACCCAGACAACTGCAACGTATGTTAGCATAGATCTTATGATAGCCGTGTAAGTCCATGCGACGACTCTGGGTGAGAATCCCCAGGTGCGCCCCACTGTTCGGCGACATTGTTCATAAGCAATGTATGCTCTTTTAACTCTATTTTCTAAATGCGAGTTCTATGTTAACTTGCTGTCAAAGGTGAGACATAGGTATTTCACCTCTGTTGCAAAGTTTAGTTTTGTGTTTACGAGTTCTGGAGGTTTTAATTCCATTTCCATTCTTTTCCTTGCGAAAAGGACCATTTCTGTCTTCTTAGGATTGATAGACAGTAAATGGTCCTTGCACCACTCTTTGATGAGTTTTAGAGCTACTTGCATTCTTTCGCAGAGTATGTTCTCAAAATTCCCTGTTTGCAGAATGACCAGGTCATCTGCATATGCTATTATGTAGTGACTGTCATTATTGAGGCGGATGATAAGGGTGCTGTGGACCATATTCCACTATTCTATACAGCTGCAGAAACTAAGGGTGATTCTAATATATTTTGTTTCCTTCGGTTACATATATAAAATATTTAAGGGTATAAAAGAAAAATTGCATATATAGTATGTGTTACTAAATATAACTCAGAGGAACCAGGACAAAAATTCAGCTAGGTAACACCTAAAAAGTGCCTGTTAGTGGCTTGCATTTCAATTGAGTTATGGAAGATAATTATTAGAAGAAGACTTACCACTGTAAAAAGCATTCTGATAACATATAAATAATTTCCCGTTTTAGAAAAGTCTTCGTTAATTGCAGTAGCCACAGAAGATAAAATTATTAGTATAGTTTCCATATATAAGCACAAAAATGTCCATGCAAAAATTTTATTGATATATTTAAAAGTAACTGTGACGCATTTTAAAACCCTTCGAATATTAAACACGGTTAACAAAATATCTGATTCGTTTTTAAATGGTACCCCTTTGACGACATTTTCTATAGCTTTAATAAGATTTTTATGTACAGCAGCATTGATGTCCAAAATTAAGCATATTGTTAGAAAGGAACAGAAATACAAAAACCTTCCTAGAATACATCTGATGAATACAAACGAGTTATTACTGGTGCTTTCCAAAAAACACAATTCCAAAACGCGTATTACAGTGCGTAGTATCATTAATAGTCCTCCAGCTAACGTCTGAAGCATAGCTTTAACATTATTTATTTTGGAATACTGCTTAACATTCATAAAATATTCCATATTCATTAATAAACGTATCCATTTTTTTCTGTAAATTAGGCGAATCAGGCAGCAAGTAATCACGAAAATCAATTCATTTAAAAAGTATGTTAACAATATAATATTGATGATTAACTTCTCTTTATTCCTCAGTACATCCAAGGAAGCTTCTACTTGCAATGTGCAAAAAAGCGTTGCTACCAAGACATTTAAAATTTGATAAAAATATTCTGAGCAATCTTTAAGTTCTGATGATTGCGGGATGAAGCCCAATAATTTGTTAACAGATATAAATTTTCTGTAAATACTCACGCTGAGCCATGTCATTCTGACCAACAGTTGTTTTTCCTACTAAATTATATTTTGTTTGTGAAATAACTTTTAATTAACTAATAGTAAATAATGATGACGATGTTATGGTAGTTTAATAATTAATAAACAAAAGAAACGTCTAAGTTTATTTTCATCGGTTTTTTAATAATAGTAAATGTTTCACGAGTCACAGGTCATCATTATACAGGATGTTCCAAAATTTAAATCATTTTTTACCAATAGTATTTATTTGAATAGAGGTAAACCAGATTTTGTGATATGTGAGAAAAAATTAATTCTTTTTCCTTGTTTTTTTAGACTTCTATAAAATTCGACTTACGTACCTCCCGGTATACCAAAAATATAAATATCTTTCATTTGGTATTAAGTGGTGTGAATTTAATAAATAGGGGTCATAATCTCTACAAAAAGGAAATTAATTTCCTCCTCTAGACCAGAGCTCCATCAAATAAATTCAACCTTAAAAACGCCACACCCAGCTGTTAAAAATATAAAAGAATCAAAAATGAATTTATATGGAAAGTCTTTGAGTGATTGAAAAGGCCGAATGTGACGAATGATTTGATCAGGAATGTAGATGGCAGAAGGCCTATCAATAAAGAGTTAACAAGTTCGCAGATTATCAGTAACATACCCTCCTACGAAATGAAGGAGAAGAATTACCGAACTGGGATCTTTCAAAAGAATAAATCCCGACATTGAACAAACACCAAAAAATGGTTCCAACACACGCAAAATATGAAAGTTAGAGATTTATAATAATGGTTCCTGAAACATTAAAAAGAAAATATTTCTAAATTCATCATTGAAAAGGTTCAAATAAACCTCTGCTAGTACAGTAAACAAGCTATGCTGAACCGTGGGATGAACTTGGAGTTGGGTACTGAAAATCAAACAATTGAAAACTATCCGCAACATAGAACAAATTGAAAGAACCTCATGTCCCAACATAACAGGAGCTATGAAAACGACACCAACCAGAGCCTTGAAAGTTATTTTTAGTCTCACTTCCCTTGATATTTATATCATGGACACGATTCCACATAGATGGAATAGATGGAATATAGAACCTGTTGTAGGATACACTTCCATTGTTTCAAGCGAAGATGGGCTCTACCTTAATAAGATATATTTTTCATAAGCCATACAAAGTTATAACCAAACAAATAGAAGAACTAAAATAGATAGAATAATAGTGCCAGTGTAGAAGCCGAGCTCACGGGGCAATAAATTACCACAAACAATATCACTGGAAGGAACATGCTCATCTATACAGATGGCAGACATCACGAGTTATCCTTGACAGACCACGAATTTACTCAAGTTTAGTAGTAGAATGTCATGAAACTTTGAAAAAGTATTCGTCATTTTAAGAT